AAATTAAACGCTTGGCCAATAGGCAAACAAGAACTGATGAATTTGCTTTGCATTCTTTGCGAATTTTATTTAAATTATTATAATTTCGACTGATTATTATTTCAGCTGCTTTAGTATTGAGCTCCAGGTTCAAGCCGCGAGGAGGTCTATTTTAATGATATGAGAGTTTTTAGACAAGCTGACATATATTTTTGTTTGTTAATTTTCTATTTACATCTTAAGCAACTTTATGGAATATGTTCAGTTTAACTAACGGTTAAACAGTTTAATCCAATGAGAAATAATTTCCATAATTAGAATGTTCCCAAGTGTATCCATTGAAAGTGCATAGCGCCATCTACTGTGTTGGCAACACGTATGTGCATATTATACTTGGGTAAAAGCAGCTCATTGAGGTGAACCAGCTCACTCGCTCTTTTTTGTGAAGTGAGCCAACTCACTCATTTGGCTAACTGGCTCACTTTCTTATAGCTCATGAGTCGAGAAGGATCGCAATCAAAATGGGCGAGTGAGCGAAAACGAGATAGTGAGCCAAAATGAGGAGCTAGCTCAGTGGCTCAGTTCAGTGAGCCATTCATTTTGGCTCACTCACTCATGAGTCTAGTGCATATGTATGTATGTATGTAACAATCTGCTTTGCATATAGATGAATTTTATAGAATCTCCTTTTGCTACATTTTGGGTACCCTAATCTGACTAAACTCGCTTGTAGAACTCAGTTGCAAGTATAGCTATAGCTATAGTTTTGAATGTCAAATATTCTATAGAGTATGTAAATATAACATAAACAGGCGTGGCCTTTCGGTCTTCTACGTTGGCATGCGAGCATTCTACCATATTCTGGGAATAAAAATTGTTAATGAATTCTATTGCATTGCCTGTTAATTGAATTTGTATTTTCAGCCACTGCTTTACATTTTCTGTTTGACGTGTGGCGCAGTGCAGTTGCTATTCCTTTTTCGCTACCACGATTCAAAGCAGTGCACCCCTGCTCGATCCGATGCACGTCATGTTCGAATTTCGCGGGCTCGAGTTCTGCCGAGTTCTCCTTTATTTTTGAAAAACATTCTATTAACTTTCAACCTTATCGAAAGGCTTTTGAAATTCTTTACTTTTTCTGCATTTATAACCACATAAATTATTCGGGGTTCAGGGAAAAAGTCGAGCTTCTATAATATATACATAAAACCTTACTGAAAACTATGGCTCTAAATTTGTGAGAGATATAATTTTATTGCTGATTTTCATTTAGGATGCTTGCGATAACAAAAAATTGCATATATACCATCGCGTGGTATATACGGACTAACAAAAAAAATATATTTAAAGAATCTAGCTCTTATATTTTCTGAAACCGACTATATTTTAACTAAATCATTTTACCCTGGTTTCCCATTTAAGCACGGATAAATACTGCGCAAATAATTGCAATGTTAAGGCCTGGTTTATGCATATGTACTTATGTGTATCGACTAAAGATTCACGCTTTTGAGTTAACGCCCGATTCTTGTAGGGTTTTTATACCTTCAACCGATTGAAAATGTGAAAGCAGGGTGTAATGGTTTTGTTAAAGTCTGCATACGTAAAAGGCATAAAGAAGCGTGGCAGACCCAATAAAGTGTATATATTCTTGATTAGGGAGACGAGCTGAGTCAAATTAAGCCCCATCAGTCCGTGCTTTTCCGTATGCTGGAACGCTTTTGTCTCATTTTTATTTGTTAACACTTCATGTTATGTTCAACTGCTCGCTGTCTCTATTGTAGGCAAAGCAGTAGCAGTAGCTTAATATAGTTTCCGGTAGATGGCGCTAAGGGTGCAAATCTTGTAGCTTTATCGTAGTCTATTCCAACACCATATAGCGGCTAATTCCCCTGCGCAAAGCTGAAACATCACGAACTGCGATAGCTATCGTTAACAAGTGACATCGATTTGCAGGGTTGCTCTGAGCGATTGCGCAGAGTAGCTTACAAAAGATGCCATATTGAGTAAAACC